CTTACAAGATAATAGGTGTAAAGTATAAACATGAGTAAGAATACAATAAATAGGTATGAATAAACGGGGACAAAAAAGACAGGGACAGTAGGCACGATTGGGCACTTATACACGTTGGGAGTACTCGCATCTGCTCTCAATCTGGTCTCGACGAAAAAAGGTTTCCCAATATTTGTCCGCGGCCCTGCCCACCGGAGTACATGGTTTGAAGCAGACTGGAGCTGTAATATTAGGCAAGCATCACCAAAAGCTATTATGGGCTGCCGCGGGATAAGAAATACCAGCTCTTAAGCACGTTGTGAGGCCTGCGCTGTTTCGAAACTCACGCAGCTCCCAAACTATTGGCTGAAAGCCAGCGGCATTGTCCTCCCCGGGCTTGAGTCGCTCGGTTTCGTTTTTCTGATTTCTTGCTAGATTTCGTTTTCTCCGGTAGGTTTAATTTCTCAAGTAGCCCCCGCCCTCTCCTTTCCTTGAGTTTGGCGGCGCAGCCCCGCCCGCTCCGCTTGCGGGACGCTTCGCAGAGTTTGGGGTTCTCGGGCAGCGATGTCGTCCGGCGCCGTTTGCCTCCACATGCAGCCCTGCTCCTACGAAGGCGCCGACAACGAGAAGGAAGTCTCGGCCCACCTCAAACCTGCCTCGAGGAGAGTCGCCGGGGAGCAGCCCAGTGACTATCTCCTCTGGTCATTGTTCAACCTTTTCTTCTTGAGCGGCTACTGCTTCTGCTGTCTCAGCTTCAGCGCGCTCGTCTTCTCCGTCAAGGTGAGCTTCTTTCCCATTTCTGCAGTTTCGATTCCATCTGAGTTTTCCACACACCCCACCCCGCGTAACATTTCTTTCGGGAACTCTCTTTCTTTGCTTCGTTCAGTATTTCAAAGTATTCGCTTACTTTTCTGGGTTTTGGCTCCGTCCCACGCTGCAACCCAGGGTCTTTTAGGCCCCCGTCAACACATCCATTAAGTGGAAATTTCAGGCTTCATTTTCTTCTTCCTGGCGCCGCCGGCTGGATTTTTTTCTGCAGAATTGCATAAGCGGGACTTTCCGTGGCAAAGCTGCTTAACGCTGGAGATATATGGCCACCCTCCCGGCTTATTTAAGAAAACTTCATTCTCCCGAATCCTGAGACAATTTAGGGATCTAGGAGTTGTTTTTTTTAACAGCATGGGACATTTTTTTTTTGAACAAACTTTATTAGTTTTTTTTTTACACACACAAACAGAACATAGGATGTAGTAACATAAAATATCTTTTCTAAAAGAAACAGATAAACCATCTTATTTTTAAAAAAAAGATAATTCCAAATTATCACATTTCTATATATTTATCTTATCTAGTCAACTTCATATCTTTTCCAAACTTCTCTTTATTACTCCCTTTCCTTCTATTTAATCATACTTCTTCTGCCTTAAGATTATATACTCATTGAATATAATTTCATTAGTATTCTTCCACATCCTGTCAAACTTAAACAAACATTATACAAAACATAAATACATAAAACTTCTTTTTGGAAGGTGGCTTACCCCGGTTAACTCTTTTTATACAGACATCAATCAAAGTTTATACTCACATAATATACTATCTCATATCTTATTTAACATTCTCTATTTCCATATATTTTCTCTCTCCTACTCATTCTTTTGATTCTATTTTATTTATTCCATCTCAATTAAATAATTATATTTGCATCTTTGGTCAGTTTTCTTTCAATCATCTACTTATCCTTTCTATCTAATACAATATTTCTCCTGTAAACCCAAATTGAAGTATGACAACTTTTTATCTTTCCCCTAAATAACACTTAAGATAATACATATTTTCCGTACTGATTCTGTTCCGTACATTCTAAGTATTACATTTCAAAATAATAAAACAAACAAATAATATTGAATTTAATAAGTAACAATAAAACTAAAAAAAAAAGAAAGAGGAATGTTAAATTTATAATCATATGAAATTAAATTCTATTATTAATTCTTAAACAATAAAAATAATATTTCATAAAAAATTAAACTTTATAATTAAATCATGGCTTCCCTTTAATACATTTTTAAGTCATATAATATTCTGGTTTTCTAACTCAGCTTCAAATACTAATATCTACAATACACTCTTATGTACTTTTGCAGAATCATTTTTATAAAATTATCTTACCCCTTGTCTCTGAAAAAAAATCATTTTTTAGCATTTTGTTTAAAGCCTTTATGACTTCTCTTTCCTTTTCCCCTTTCTTTCTTATCCATTCTAGCTTTTTGACTCCCCCCCATCTCTCAAGTTTCACTCTCTTAATCTTCCCTCTCTGTTGTATTTCTCTTTTCTGTTGCTTTCTGACATCATATCGCTTTTTCATCTCATTTTTCTTTTTCTTGGTTGCTTTTTTAAGTTCTAAGTTCACCTTTTCCTTGCCCCCCTTTCGCTTTTCTTCCTCCACTAAGTGTGTTTGTCCATTAAAGATGGCTTCTTCTCCTTCATCCCAGCCTTCCTGTCGTTGTCATATTTCTTGATAGGTAGCAATTGCCATTTCTAAAAAGTAAAAAATAGATCCAGAAGAGCCCTTATCTTCTTCTTTCAGTCTTTGAAATTCCATTTGTAGTCCTTCAAAAGATAATGCCATTTTTTTCTTTCTTTCTTTTTTGAGGCAACCCTAATGTCTTTAGTCCCACCCCTTTTTTTAACAAAAGTTCACAAAAATCTCAAAGTCACAAAGCAAACCAAATCAGAGCAAACAGTTTCATTTAGCACTTTCTTCTTTCTATATTTTCACCTCCTAGGGTAGGATCTTCTAGAAGTCTTAATGTCTTTTATTCCTGTTCTTATAGGCTCAAAGCAGTCTCCTTCAGTACAATCTTATAATAAGTCTTTATCTCTTCCCTTCCCCTTGTAAAAACTAGAAAGAATTTTAAGTTTTTAAATCCAATGTCCAGAAATCCTTTATCCCTTGGCTTTAAATTTCAAATTGGATTACCTTCAGTGCCCAAGTAGATTTTCCAGATCTCCGTCTGCTGTTTCTATGGGGAGGGAGAGTGAAGAAAAAAACTTTCCCTTGACAGCTTTTTTTGCCGTTTTTTCCAACCTTCTTTGGGAAACAATGTATCCTTCAAATAATTCAAGCAATTCAGTTTCCAGGGTAAAAAGTTTCTTATTGTCCCAGCTCAGCCAGCACTTTCACTTCTCCTGCTTCCTCCAGCACAAATCTTACCCGGCTGCAGACTTCTTTGTGGCGGCCATTACTGACCGCCGCTCCACCACCTTGGGAAAAAGGGGTTTTTCCGGCTGGGGAGGGGGTCTGCAACACCCCCAAACCCCTGTCCGGATCCCCTCTCTCTTTGGCTGCCTCTACAGGGCAGCCATATCCCCCAGACCCATTTGGATCGGGGGCACCTTGGGGGCGAGCGCAGCAGGAATCGCGGAGAGTCGCGAATTCCTGCTGCCGCCGAAGCCACGTGAAACCGGAAACCAGCAGCATGGGACATTTTTGTGGGTGTATAAGGAGAAAAGGATGGGGGGGGTGTTTAAATGTGCAATCATTTGTGAGATATTTGCTTTAATAATCTCTCTAGCACTAGCTTTTTATGTGACAAGCAAGAATATGTGAAGAAACCAGCTTTGACTTCGTTTGCTAATGAAATTCATAGGGGGTGTGTATGGTGGAATTGTCCCACTATATTTTGGTTTTAGAATGAAGTCCTATTTAAAGGAAAGGCATTGTGCTTTTGGAAGAGCAGTCTTCCAAAATGTTTTTGGTCTTCTCAAATTCTCTGAGGAAAGACTTGACCCCAATGTGTTGCTATCACCTGTCTTCAAAAGAGTGGATTATTTACTGATGATATTAATACACTACACTCCCAACACTTTGCATCCATACAATTCAGAGTTATAAACATATTAACAAACAAAATATAGTCTTAGCATGGAAATGGAATAAAAAGAAGCAAAAATAACATGGACAAATACTGTTTTAGATCTGTTTCCGAGTGTAACACCCCCCAAGGGTAAAATATGAACAAAGATATGAAAGGCCGGAACTTTGCTATTTGATTGAACATAGCATTAATTTTCACAGCAGTCATATGTAGATAATTTGAGGTTTATAACTGGTATTAATATGCCTTAAGATTTAATTTTCTTTTCATTTTATCCTTTTCAGGCAAGGGATCGTAAAGTTATTGGAGATCCTGAAAGCGCGGCTACCTATGGGAAGAAAGCCAGATTCCTGAACATTGCTGCCTGTCTTATAGGCATTGGAATTACTGTTACTTGTTTCGTTGCAATAATTTTAAGTTCAGGAGATATTCTTAAATTGTTCCGAGAAATGAGGGAGAAACCCCAATTATTACAGCCAGGTCAATGAAAAACAAGTTATTCACCCAGGATATCATCATCAAACATTTTTACTGCCTATTGCTGCATCACTTTTCTGTCTCATGTATATTTTCCCTTGTCAAAAGAAGGATTCTGTGCAGTTTAATATAGCTTGCCATATTGACAGCAGGAGACATTCAGATTCTAGAATAGAGTTTTTCAACTGAATTCTGCAGAACTCCAGACTTCCATGACAACTTGACAGAGTTCACGAGAGACTTAAGACCAAGCAAACAAAATTCAATTCAGTACAGCCAGTGGTATTCAAAGCAATTTTTCTAAAGAAAAGCAGTCACATCCCAATAACTGAACACTGATTTCTATGTTAAAACATTAAATTCCCAAGTAATTGTGTAAGTTTTTGTGCACTAGAAAATGTTAATTTTGCATTTATAATATTTTACTTTGTATACTTAGGATAAATGGAGGAATCATGGGACACTAGTTGAGGTATTAGTTATTTTGAAATTCAAATAATTGACAAAAAGCATAAAAATTATTCTGAAAGTTTTCTGTTATTACTGTAGTGCTTTGC